TCTGTTTGGCATTTAAGGCCTTTTGCAACCAGGCTCCAATCTACCTTTCTAACCTTATTATATTATTTTACTTCCTTCCACAAACACTGTGGCCTAGCCAAACTAGCCTCTTAATTATTTCTCACTCCGTCTCCCATCTCCATGCTTTTTCACAGGCTTTCCACTGTACTTGGAATGTACTTCCTCCTCACCTCTGTCTCCTAGAAACCTTAATTTTCCTTCAAAGCTAAAGTGTCCCCATCCACCTAAGGCCTTTTCTGATTCTTTCAGCAGCTAATGCTTTCCCCTACAAAATTATCTTGTATTTATGTATTTACTTGGTATAAACTTATATGTGCACATATATCTCTTGCCAAATAGAATGTAAGGAGCAAGGACAGTTTCTTTTTTTTTTTTGTCTTTTGCCCTCCCAGTACCTAGCTCAGTACCTACCACACAATAGTCATTTAATAAATATTTGTTGATTGCTTGAGTGATAAATGGTTTTTGGATGGATGAGTGATGGCAGTAGTATTAGTACTCACATTGCACATTGTCCTTGGTACCTGCACTAGTTACTTGGTTCCAGGTGAAATTAGTATTGTCAGATTACAGCTCCAGAGCTAGAAGGGTTTTTGAGGCCATCTACTCACTCTCTAATTCTCTAATCTTTCAGATGAGAAAACTGGAGCTCAGAGAAGTGAGGTAACTTAACCCAACCTCACATGGGTTTCAAACCCAGGCCCTCTGACTCCAAATCCATCACTCAATCCATTGCACCAATTCTGGATTTTGTAGTTAATCTATGAAACATGGAGTGATTTTTCCATTTCCGCTACCAAAAAAAAATGAATTTCCATTTTAACCCTATTGAAATCTTGTCTTCTCCCAAAATAGTTCTTAAGGGAATCTTATGTAGAATAATTTCTTTAAAGTACTCTTAATTTACAAATTTGTAGGGGACAGGGACTATTTCTTCTCTACTCTACATGAAGTTCTCATTTGTGCCATGATAAAAATAGACATTCCATAAGTTCTGGCCTCAGGTAAAGAAAATAAGTAGAATATAAAATAACCTATTAGCTTAATTTAGGCTAGTGGACAAAAATTTAGGGAGGAGATTAAACTAAAGTTTAAACATGTTCAGTATGCTAACATTGAAATTCATTGCCATTTTGAACAATATAAATAACAGAAATTTTGTACAAACTTTAGCATTTTTGAAAATAAGGAATTTGTGTCTGGCATTCATTAGTATATTGAGCCAATAAATACCATTAGCATATTGAGCCAGTAAATATTCAGTTTTTATCTGCCATCTTTTCATGAGTTTCCTCTGAATAGAATCCCAGTGGTAACATGTATAAAATTAAATCACCCCTATTACCAAACTCATTTCTTTCAACTCTAGCTCTTACATGCCTCAGTTTGTAAAGGCATATATCAGTGTGCTCAGCTGTTATCTGTTATGCGTGTTACTTTGTGTTTCATGATTTTCATTTTTGTGCAGAGTTCTGTGTCCCATCCCTCTCCCCACACCACCACCACCCTCTCCCCCTTACCCCCTTACCCCCTATACCATCACATAGATGGTAGTAGTTTCCTTGAGGACAGGAACTGTCTTTTGCTACCTTTGGAATTCCACATACCTGTCCAGTGGCTACAACTGAATTGGTGCTCACTACTTCTGTTGAGTGAAATTTGAGAACTTCAGAAGAAAAAAATAGTGATACAACTCACAAGTATTGCATTTTTTTAAACCCCACTAACATTGTTTAAAATAAATACCCAACCCTCTCTTGGGAGAATAACCTTTTACCAGCCAGGAGGGAAGGCTTGCCTGGCATGTACTAACTCCCTTATATACTCATTCCCCAGAAAAGCACAAAGCAAAACATTTCTATAAATCTGTGATCTGGTAAACGTCATCCACAGGTTTCATGACAGGGGGTTAAACGTGACTTTGACATTACTCAAAAGGTCCAACTGACTAATCAGAACATGACATTGGACAATTACTGTTCAAAGCCAAGAGGATAATTGAAGGTAATGTACTGTACTTAGGTTTCATGAGTTGCAGCCAAGGTCTGCTCTGAAATATGGTAGGCAGAGGAAGGTTGTAAAACACCCACTGTGGAAAAGTATGTTCCTTTGAAATGTTGGCTTTGACTTAGACTAACAAAGCATTCATTTTTATTTTAGCCATAGATTTTGCTTTAAAATTTTTCTTTTTCTGCCTAAAGCTTGTGCAAATATTGGAGGGGGTGGGGATTAGGGGGAAGGGATGTTGATCTCCTTTAACAGTTTTGATGGTTGCTATGGCAAATGATAATAGCTGGAGCACTGTTATCATCACTAAAATTACTGTTGTCTACAATATCTAGTTTGGTTGGGGAAAATAGACTGAAGACCTTGAATGAATGGGATTGCAAGATACATATAGCCTGATCTCATCATTTTACTCCTGAAATGTTTTGGCTAAGCTAAAAAAGCTAAAACGCTTTACTCTCACCTTGTTCAGTAAGAAAATGTTTATTATAATCCATTTTGCTGCATAGTTCATGTCAGTTAAATCAATCAGAATTTGACCTTTTAAAAAATACACCTAAAAGATGTTTAAAAAGAGGAATGCTTATAGTATCTTATTTTAAGACTATCGCTACATTTGAGTAAATTGATCTAGCCTGCAGTGGCTCTGGTAGGAATGAGAATTCCTTGTGGTGTAGAGCCAATAATCTTTTAACTCAGTAAAATCAAAATTGTCAAAAATGTAATTTAATGTTCTTGCATTTGATTTTAGTCATTGCTGTCTACATATGCATTCCACAATAAACCTATCTTGAGTTATTCCAATTTTATTGCCTAAATATTGAAAAAAGCCCAAGAACATTCTGTAAAAAGTTAAAGTGATTAAAAATAAAATGATTGCTGCAACTGAAATGAAAATGTTGAATTCTTATAAGCAAATACTAAAAAAGTAGAGATTAAATGTATGAGCCTCGAATGTAAAGAAACATTTAAAATATAGAAGTTAGCTTTTAAGATGTATATTTGACAAGCATATTGCTCACTTTTCAGTATCTGTATTCAAATAGAATAGTTTTGGAGCAGCTAGGTGGCGCAGTGGATACAGCACCGGCTCTGAAGTCAGGAGGACCTGAGTGACACTTAATAGCTGTGTGACCCTGAGCAAGTCACTTAACCCGAATTGCCTAAAAAAAAAAATCGAATAGTTTTGAGCAGAGGTGTGATTTTTTTTTTCCTCCAGAGAGAAACTCATCTATTCATTTACCCTTGTTGTACACTCTTATCTCCTGTAATCCATCTGGGCCCACAAGCTCCTCTCAGGTTCTTTTATTTTTTATTTATTTATTCATTTATTTTTGGTGAGGCAGTCAGAGTTAAGTGACTTGCCCAGGGTTACGCAGCTAGTAAGTGTCAAGTGTCTAAGGCCATATTTGAACTCAGGTGCTCCTGACTCCAAAGGCAGAACTCTATGCCTACACCACCTAGCCTCCCCACATCCATTCATTTAAAAGCAATGGTTAATTCCATGTTATGTGTATTCTCCTTTAAAATATACAAAAATTAAATGCAAAATAAACTTATAACACTAATTATTAAAATCTTGCTTTTAAGAGGTATCAAGAAATCCTAGATATTTTAAAGACACCATTTTGAAAGTTTTTTTATTGTTACATTATCTTCCATCTATATTATGCTTCTATTTTCAGTTATAATCATAAACAATTTGCCAACTACCTCTTATTTCAAGAAGTAGCCTTAGAAACCATGGACATGAATCCTAGACCCAGATCATACCCAAAGGATCTTATCGTAAATGGAGGAAAACAGTAATGACTGGCACACACTGAAAGACCAGCGCTGTGTGGTCAAAACAAACAACTCTCCCACATTGCAGAGGAGCTGGTGCTAGCAAATTGCTTAAGATAAAAGAATGACTTATTGGAATCAAAAGTAATCGAGCCATCGGCTGCCTTTGTTTTCACTAACTGCAGTGGAGTTGTGAGGCATAATTATGTTAATGGTCCCTGGCTCCAGCTGGGTCTCTTGGCTTTCCAGAACAAAAGCAGTTCAACAGTTTATGGGATACAGTTCACTTGTTCCATTAGAATGGCATTAGGGAAAAATTATTGGTGAACAATTAATATTCAAAATAGAATAACTTTTTTCAGTTTTAAAAAGAAAACATGCAAGAAATTATGTATATCCTTTGGCATGGGTTTATATGAAAAATTAAAACATTGCTGCTACTTTTTAAAATAAACTTTCAACTTGAAATAGCACAAATAAATCTGTTTACGCATAAACACACACATTTGAATCCAGTGTTTGCTAATAGAGCAGTACTTCTAAGTCTTTGATTTCCCCCTGAACAAAAGTTGGCGTCCAAGATGTAATTATGACATCGAAGTTGTTTTCAAAGACTTTTGTTTAAAAATGATTTCATCATGTTAGGTTACATATTAGAAAACGTCCGAGTTATTGTTGCCTAGAGGATGCTACTGTGTTAACATCTTCTGGCATGGTTTTGCTTCACACTGGAAATGAACTGCCAGAATTCTGAATTAACTCTAGTAGTCATGTAAATGGATGATGGAGATAAATAAAATAAAATTCAGAGTCAGTTCTGAAAACATAATTGTAACCATTAGATCCCTTTGCTTCTTTTCTTGGCATTACTGTTAAACCACTAAACTGACCCATTTGTTTGTTAGCTTCTCTTTCTACCTTCTGGGGAAAGCGAAATGGAGAAAACCAAACAAGTGAGGACAGAAAGAAGAGCAGAAACCAGAGTTATAGGCACTTAATAGATGTTGATTGATTGATCAGTTGTTGGAATAATCTGGAGGCCTAGAGTGTAGTCATGAGCTGTAGGCAAAGAGCTGTACTTTTAGGGTTATGAGCCAAAGATCACTTTCTTTCAAACGTGGAGCTGTGTTTGCTGAAGTGATGTTTCCTACATCAACTTGTTTAAACAATATTGCTTTCTGTTCCAGGTGATCACCTTCTTTAGTTCACGATTGCAGCAGGCTGGAGCCGAGCTGTCAGTGGAACGAGTCCTGGAAATCATCAAACAAGGAGCTGTTGCACTGCCCAAAGACAGGCTGAAGGTAAGGGCTTTCAAAGAAAAAAGTCAATTAGAAAGTGGTCCAGATCCATTTGTGCAAATATTTGTGTTTGAGCAGTTAGTCTGTCAATCAACAGGTATTTATTAAGATCTTACTATGGTCCAGGCACTGTGATCAGTGCTGAGGATACAAAGAAAGGCAAAAACAGTCCCTGCCCTCAGGGAGCTCACAGTTTAACAGGGGAGACAGCACAGATACCACTGTGTACATACAAAAAGTACAAATAGGAGGTTATCTCAGAGGGAAGGCACTGGGAAAGGGAGGAGAGGGAAGGGCCTTTTCCAAAAGGTGGGATTTGATCTAAGTCTTGCAAGAAGGCAGGAGTTAGAGCCTGGAAAGGAGAGAATTCCTGGTACAGGAGATAGTGAAAATGCATAATCCAGAGTTGGAATATTGCAACTGCAAGGAACAGCAAGAAAGCCAGTATACAAATATAAAGATGTAGTGGCAGGAGATAGAGGGCCATATGTGAAGAACACAGTGAGGTCAGTTTAGTTGGACCATAGAGGACAGAAAAAGGAGTAATATATAAAGAGGCTGGAAAAATAGGTCGGGACCAGGTTATGAAGGGTTCTAAAAGCCAAACAAAGGCATTTCTATTTTATTCTAGAAGGAATAGGTAACCATAAGCTTTTGTTAAATAAGGCAGAGACATGGTCAGATCTTTGCTTGAGGAATCATTTGGGTAACTGTGTGGATGGTGGATTGGAGCAAGGAAAGATTTGAAGGTAGCAGGACAATCAGGAGACCATTGCAGTACTGTAGGCCAGAGCTGGTAAAGCCTGACTCAAGATGACAGCTGTGATAGTAGAAAGAAGTGGTTGGATGCAAGAGATATGTGAAGGTAGAAGTGACTTCATTTGACAAGTGATTGGATTCTTGTGGTGATGGAGTCAGAAAGGGGGAATAACATCATAGTTGCGAACCTGAGAGACTGAAAGAATGGGTGGTATCTTTGATAGAAAGAGGGAAGTTTGGAGACTGGTGGTGGATTTGGAAGGAAAGGTGAATTCAGTTTTGGACATTTTGAGTTTGAGCTCTCTCCCACGTACAATTTAAAATGTCTTTTAGACAGTCAGGGATGCCAGACTGAAGCTTAGGCAAATTATATGGATCTGAGAGTTTCCTACATAGAACTGATACAGGAGAGAGAGAGAGAAGAGAAGAGGACTCCAGGACAAAGCCTTGAGAAACACCTATGGTTAGGTGACAAGATATGGATGATGAGCCAGCAAAGATACTGGAACCATCAATAGAGTGTATGTTCATGTGCCCTGATTCATCCTCCCCTCCACGTTTCTCACACACCTCTACTTCCGTGACCTATGCTTTCACTCCGCCTCAGCCATCGCCCATGAAGCTCTGCTTCCACGTTCAGTAACTGTGAAATTCTTCCATGTAACCATAACTTCCTCTCCTTCCACCTCTCCCTGGGCTTCACGCTTCTTCCTTGACATCGCCACGGTTTCCAGTTTCTCCGTCCCTCGGTGCTCCCCAAGTCATCACCCACATTCTGCCTTCACTTCACTTCTTCTCTTGAACCAGCTGCCTTGCGCCCCTGTCCTGTCACCGCTGCTACCATAGATGACTTCCATCATTTCCGTTCTTGCCAGCTGCTGCGTGCCACTGGAAGAGGTCAGACAGCCACGCTGACTGGATCCATTACAGACGTGTTTGGGCTCTCACCACCACATAAAGGCGTAATGCTTTTACACTCCTCCCACTCCTTCCCAGCTGCCATTTCAAACTCTCTCTCCTCTGTCCTGGGCTCCCGTGCCACCCCTTTTCTGTCCTGTGCCCTGTACTTTACTGAGAAAACAGAAGGACTTGCTGTAGACCCCTTCTGTTCCCCTCTGAGTGCGCCCTTGGATCCCATTTCCCACTGGTCTTCTCCTTCAGCTTGTTCTCACGTTCATCCTTTGTCTCTTGCTGCCTACTGGCTTCTTTCCTGCTTTCTTCAATCATGGCCAAGTCTTCCTCATCCTCTAAAAAAAGCTTACTTTACCCTGACACTCCCTCAAGATATCATCCTATATTCTCTCCTCTCTTCTCTTTTCAGAACAATACCAGAAAAAGCAATATTCTTTGCCTCCAATCCTCTCCTTTCTCTCCCTTTTCAGTCTCTCACTGAATCAGTGTGGTTTCTGATCTTACCATTAACCAAAAAAAAAAAATTTATTTTCCCCAAGATTACCTATGATCTTTCAATTGACACATCCAGTGACCTTTCTCATTCCTCATCTTTGTTGACCTCACTTTAATATTTGACACTATTAGCCTTGCCCCTCCTCCTAGATAGATAGAGCATTTATTAAACATTCAGTATTTGCCAGGCATTATGTTAAGAGCTGAGAATACAAATACAAGCAAAAATAATAGACTCTACCCACAAGGAGTTCACATTCTGTTGGGAGAAAACAACACATAAAGGGGTGGAGGGAAAGGACACAAGGTTGCTAGGCAGGAGGTAGAAACCCAGAGAATGAGGAATTAAGAGCAGATCTTGGAGACAAGTGAGTTCATGTGGCCTGGGCATTTCATGAAGTGGCAGTCCTTGCCAGGGACTCAGAAATCAGAGAGGGCCGGAGGATCCGAGAAAGCATCTCCCGTCCCAAGAGTCAGATGTGGAACTGGGAGAGAAGCTCTCTTTCCTGCATTCTCATTATACCACCCTCTCTGGACTCTCCTGCCTGTCTAGTCTTTCCTTAGCCTCCCCTGTTAACACAGTGCCTAGCACATAGTATGTGAATAAAAGTGTACTGTAACTGAAAATGCCCCTGCCTACCATTCAGAAAACCTGAGCTCTGCTACTAACCATATCAGCTACTAACTGTGTGCTGTGGGCATCATTCTGAGTGAGACATTTCACTTGTCTGGGCCTATAAAAATGAAGAGTGTGGACCTCTGAGGTCTTTTCTAGTTCTAATATTAGCTGTGAGATTTGAATCCAAGTCTCTGTTGTGTCCAAACCAGCACTCTTCCCACTATTCCATGCTGTTGTTAATAGTATTCCAACATATTAACACCTTAATCTTTTTGATAAATAACTAAAACATATCAGTAAAAAAGATTATAGAGTATATTGTAGCAACTTTATATGTAAGATCAACATAAAAGAGAAGTAACTTCAAAATGGAAATGCTTGTTTAATAGCTACATTTGAAAGTTTGGAATACAGTACGGCTTGTTGATTTATTCTTTCTTAGGTTATAAATTAAACATGGAAAATTTCAAAGTTATTTCCAACCACAGTTTGAGTTTCTGGGAGGATTATACTTGCCCCTTACACATGAGAAATTGGTATACTGGTGGGAACTGGGTAGTTGATTTGCCAAAACTTGTAAAGTGCCATTTGGATTGGAGAATTGGAAGCCACATTTGTGGAAGAATCATTCTTCCAACTTGGGGCAGATAAACAGAAAGATTTGGAGGACCCTGTCATAGTAATTGACTTTCAACCAAATAAAATGTTTTTCAATCAAATGTTATTTGACAGAGCCCTGTAAAATATTTATATAATTTCCTGTGTAGTAATATATACTCTTTGGATAAGTCCATCTATACAGCTAAACAACTTGGCTGTTCAGAATAAATAGAATTAATATCATTTTAAACATTTTCCTCTTACTGCTATATTGTAAAGGCCAGGACAGGCAGATCTAGGTAGTTTTTTCAGACTCTCCTACATAAACAAAGACATAAAGAACAGGCACTGAAATCATAAGTTGCTTATTTCTCCTTTAGTCTGTGGAAGGAAATAGTTGAAGCTAATGGACCTTCCTGGTACTGATGTAGAAGCTGCAGCTCAAAGATATCATTGTTTTTATTATAGACAAGCAGTGCATAATCCAGACTCCTGTTATGCTTGTTAACGGCAATTTAAAGATCACTGTGATAGGTGAAAATTGGCATCCAGTATTCATTGATTCTTCTTTACCACCATCCTCGTCTTCCTTTTCCATCAACTTCACGGTCTTTCGCTTTCTTCCTTTTAGTGAATTATCTATTTAGTCTGAGGATTAGGAATGTGAGAAAGATGCTCTGGTGTCTGGGAATTAACTTCTGATTTTCAATGACAAGTAGCTAGGAGAATAATCCCTTTTGCATTAAGTAGGAAAACTTGGTTGGAACATAACTGATTACCTGAAATGAATTATTTCAGTTCAGAGACCAAATGAACTCATCATTTTCAGAAAAATTGAGTAGCCAATTTCATACAAAATCATTTTTACACCTCAGAGGACTTTAAATTTTAATTGTACAAAGCAAACACAAAAGTTAGCTAAGCAGAAATTTCAAGCAGTTTTTTAAACTCCATATTTTTTATTGGCTCTCAGAATTTCTTTTCTTACCCTTTCTTTTTTTGAAGGAGTGGGAAGGCTCTCTTCTTATGCTTTGTGATATTGTCCATCCAATCTTGGTCCCCAATGCCATCCTCAACTATTTGTCTCGTGTCTCTTATTCCCCTCCATCTGAATCATTGGTATCTCTTTCCAGTCTCGTATCAGCCACTCAAAGTTGTACTACATCAGAGCGCGATGGGAAACTTTCAACCTATTTCGTGATTCCAGTGCTTTAAGCCGTTCATCTCTCTGTAAAATTGACAATTCTTTCAGCATCAGTTACTCATTTACAGCTCAAGTGGCTGAGTGAATGATGGTAGGATGAGGCTCTGCCACCTCTTCCCTTTTCTCTATACGCCACATTTCATTTCCCTTAAATCCCAACTAGTTCCACTATTCCTTGCTTCCCCAGATCCTTCACATCAAAGACCATCCACTCATCCTTCACTCTGGATTAATTTCTTTCTTATATGTGATAAAACATGGTATAATGGAAACAGCACTGGATCTGGTCCTAGAAGAACTAGATTCGAATCCCAACTCTACTGCTTTCTACCTTTGTGACTCGGGGCAAGACACTTCTTTCCTTTTAATTTTAGCCTCCTTAGCCACAAAATGAAAGAGTTGAACCAGTAGTTC